ATCCTATTCATAAAAACCATATATATACTTGAAGAAGGGTATTAATTCTTCCCCCTGTAACTTTCTCTCTTCCCAGTGAAATCACTCAACTTTTTTTTCTTATAGGAAAAAAAAGTTTTGTACTGCCTACTCAATGTCTTTGTTTATTGTTGTTTTCCTTCTTAGGACTCCTTCCATTTTCTCCATGTTGTTTTGTAATGGGGAAAAAAAATCAAACTACACTATTTTAATATGTGTCAGGGTTTCTTGACCTGTATAGCTCAGGGTCTTTTCTGCCAATCCCACAGTATACAATCAATAATGTGAGTTCTTTTCTTCCCCACAAAGGCGATGTGTTGATAATTCATTCAGTTTGCTGCATAACTATACCCAAATCTCCCCTTACCTAGGATCTTTATTTGCTAAAACTATGCCTGGCTGCTTCCTTCCCATTCTGTAATTGGGATGTTGTACTGTTGCTTTGTCCTAGCTCTACCACTTTGCACCTACCTTTAATTGAATTACATTCTGCTTTTGTAACCTCCAGCCTTTCATTTTCCAAGGTCACTAAAAAAAAAAAAAAAAGATTTCTTTTTCTGCTGTTTTCCACAGCACAAGCTATTTGGCTGATTTACCACTATCTGGATATTTGATAAACATATCCAATTTGTCTGACCAGGCCATCAATAAAGGTATTGACTAGAACTAGTTTCAAGACTACTTCTATTTGCTCATGGGACTCCACTTGAGAGATGCCCTTCCTGGCCCACAACACCACATTTCTTACCCTTGACAGGCATAGTCTCTCTTCCCAACGGCTGTCAGATGAGTATATCTAGGTCATTGTTGTCATCATGTCTCTGTATCCCAAGGTCCTTCAACAACTTATTCCACCTTTTCAAACTTACCTCTCTCTAGTATTGAAAAGTAGCATGACACCTGGTCTCATCACTGATAAGTAATACAACAGCAGGCATTTCTGTTGGCTTTAAAATTCATCAACTGCTTCACATCCATTCTTCCATTTAACTCTCACAACACTTCCATTACTACAAGTATTATTATCCTCGTTTTACAGATAAGGAAACAAATTCAGAAAGGTCAGGTGATGTCGAGGCAGCTGGTGGCACAGTAGTAAGAGCCTTGGGTCTGGAGTCAGGAAGACCTGAATTCAAATCTGGCCTCAGGCATTTATTAGCTGTTTGACCCTGGACAAGTCACTTGTCCTCAGTTTCTTCATCTGTAAAATGAGGAAAATAGTAGCATCTGGGGTCGTTGTGAGGATCAGATGAGATAATATTTACTAAGAGCACTTAGTGCAGTGTCTGGAAAGGAATAGGTGCTAGATAAATGCTTATTCCCTTTCCCTTCCTACTAGTCCATGGTTACTAAGTGGAGAAGAAATCCTGCCAGAGAGGATTTGAAGAAAGAGAAGAAATTCTGCCAAAAGTAAGATTTGAACCCAGATCTCATATGACTCTAGCATTCCTTTCACTATAGCTCTTTGTTCCCACAACCCCAAAAGTAAAATGTCCCTAAAAACACAACATAGATCATACTTGCAGATCAAGAACACAACAAAATTTCACTTAAAAAAAAAAAACAAGCTAACATTTATATAGCACTTACTATGTGTCAGGCCCTATGACACATGCTTTACAATTTTTATCTCCTTTGATCCTCACAACAACCCCAGGAGTTAGGTGTTATTATTATCCCTGTTTTACAGATGAAGAAACTGAGGACAAGGGAGGTCTTATCCAGTATCAAACAGCTAGTAAGTGTCTGATGCCATATTTGAACTCAGGTCTTTCTGACTCCAGGGCTGGCATTCTATCTACTGTGCCACCTAGCTGCTACCACTACATTATGAAAGAATTTGTTGTTCAGTCATTTCAGTATGTCCGTCTCTTCAGGATCCCATTTGGGGTTTTCTTGGCAAAGATACTGGAGTCGTTTGCCAACTCCTTCTCCGGCTTACTTTACAGATGAGGAAATGGAGGCAAACAGGGTTAAGTGACTTGCCCAGGGTCACACAGCTAATATCTGAGGGTGGATTTGAACTCAGGTCTTCCTGACTCCAGGGCAGGTGCTCTACCCACTGCACCACCAGCAGCTTCTGAAAGAACTGCAGAGTACAAAACTATGTACAGTTGAGGAGAATCCAAAGTACAATGAAAACCACTCAGTAAGCTCAGGTTGAAAGCACTAAATAATTCTTTCCAGGTGCTCCTTGTAGACCATTCTTCCTTTTGTCCCTGCCAGGCACCTTCAGCAGTTCATAGTCTTTGATGTAACAGATCTAGCTAATTCATCCATCCCAGTTCTACCCACAAGTCTCAAGTCCAGCTACCACCTTTTAGCAGTCTCTGAAAGAATACTGTCTTTTCTTATTTGGGTACCAGGGATCCACTAACCCTTTCTACCTTCCAGTCCAAAGAACATTGAGTTCATAGCCACTTACCACCCCACTTCAGTAAGTCTTCCCCTGGTTTCTTCCTGCTCTAGGAATTTTGGTCGTTTTTATCTCTGTTCTTCTGTCTCTGACACAATTCCCACTCTCATCATTAAAAATAATTGGTTCTTCCTCCTTCATCCCATTTTAGGTTATCACAGAAGGCCCTTTCTTTCCCCTCCACTTAACAGCTACCATCTTGGATCCCTATCTCCATCCTTAGTCCTGACTTTGGTCTACCACTCTCCTGTCTATGCCCTGTCTTTGGCTAGTATTAATATTCCTTCATTTTTTTATTCTAGACTCTTTAGCACTTCACAATTATAATCCTTGAATGGAAGTGGGAACTGACTCAGATGAGTCTCCTCCTTTGCCCAGACTAGACATCACCTTCTTCTATAATATCTCTTTCCAGGTATTTACAAAACATCCCAAGGCAAGCTCCTCCTTTCTCCATCTTGCCCAGGAAGTCTTCAAGCTATTTTAGTAAATTTTTTAAACAATAATTAAGATCCCTACATTTAATATTTTAACACAGACATTATGACCCATTATCTGAAGAGTTGTCACTAAGTTCACAAATCTCTTCATTTTTTGAAGGGGACAAGTCAGGAGTGGAAAAAAAAATTTGAGGATGGAACAATATTTGCAACAACTATCCACCAAAATAATCTTTTTACTTTAGTTAAATAAAATTGATGGCTAGCTTCCCTATTAATTCTGACCTATTCTGATCCCATCTTTTCATTCATGTCATAATACTTGGAACCTTCTTCCCCTCTCTCACTCTATCCTCATTACTTTCCTCACATCCTAGCAAAACTGTGTCATCCTTTTCTTCACAAACCCCCTAGAACCACCCCTCTTTGAGAGACAGAAAGACAGACAGAGAAGGGAGAGAAAGAAGAGACAGAAAGAGAGAAAAGAGAGAAACATACAGAGACAGAGAGATAAAGACAAAGACAGAGAAAGACGGAGAGAGAGAGAGTCAGAGAGAGAGAGAGAGAGAGAGAGATCTCACTGCTTCAGACAGCCCAAGAGACCCCAGGTTAAATAGTCCCCTCCCTTGTGGGAGAACTTGTGTTTATCAGCAAATTATTTATGTGAGAGTAAATTCTGGTTTGAAAGGGTAGAGGAGAGAGATGAGACTCCACGTTTCAAAGACAAGAAACAGATCTTCCAGTATAGGGATGAAAAAGGAGATTGAAACTTCACTCCCCATCCACTCACTCGCCAGTCTGGAGACACAAAACCAAGTCCTGAAGGAATTAACTCTCATTACCAGAACTCCTGACATTCTCTCTCCCCCCCAACCCCAACCCCCCACCCCCGGCCACACACGCCCTATTGCTTCAGTAACCCACTACATCTTGGCCAGGGCTATAGAGCAATCCATCTCAATTTAGAGATGAAATAGCTAAGACTCAGGGAGGGGGAGACAGGGCAACTAGATGGCTCAGTCAGGAAGACCTGAATTCAAATCCAGTATCACTCACTAGCTGCGTGACCCTGGGCAAGTCACTTAATTTCTGTTTGTCCTAATCTACTGGAGAAGGAAAAGGCAAACCATTCCAATATCTTTGCCAAGAAAACCCCTTGGACAGTATTGACATGCTATGGTCCATGGGGTTATGAAGAGACAGACATGACTGAATAACAGTTATTATTATAAAAATTGTTTGACCCTAAAGTTCTGAAAGAGTCTTGAGGACATCCAGAGGTTGGAGGACCACACTTTGAGGACTACTGATGGAGTAGGACCTTTGATTTGAAGTCGGGTCCTCAGTTTCCAAATCCAGAGTTGTTGGTATTTTTTTTCCATGAAGCTTTATGCTTTTCTCAATATATACATTTCTTTTTTTTTCTCAAGTAGTTAGTAAGTTCCTGAAGGCAAGTATGATGATTCTATATTAGCTCCTTCCAAATATCAAAGTATACAGTGCTGGGCTCACAGTAAATTCCAATAAATGCTTACTGAAAGAAAAAATAACCACACATTGGATACAATACTCAAGATACTTCTTCCCCCCACCAAATAGCGACTAGCAAAGCAATGCCAGACTCCTTTAAGTTGTCACATCATTCATCTTATAAATAAATTTTTTTAATTTAAGCTAATTTTATGAATATTTGCTTAGACATTTATGCACACCTTTATTAACTATTCCATTTCAAGTCTAATGGTAGCCCCTCCAAAAAAAATTTGAAAAGACATTTTATTATACATTATCCATACTTTAACCCAGCCTTTTATGCTCAAATGCCAAGACTACAAATTTAGAGTGGAAAAGGGCCAGGTACTTACTGAATTCATTTTGTTCCATGCAGACAATCAATCTGAATAATGCATAGGGGTGAGTATCCCCATTCACCTGATTTACTCAGATTAGCTGGTGAATTGGGGTCCAGACAGTCAATCACAAAATCCTCCCTAATCTCATGACAGGAATTCTGTTGCCTTAGATTCCACTGTATAGCTTACGATGGAAATTTTATTTCCTCACAGACTCACGAGAATCAGGAAAAGCATGTTGGCAGGACAGCCAAAACCTCCAGTAAGACTTACCCCATCCTGAGCTTTCACTAACAAATCATAGGTGGCTGGATCTCGTTCCCTGTCGATATCTTGAGACACACAGATGTGGCCAGAATGTGGGTCAATCTGGAATGCCTGAGATTTTTCAGAGCTGTGGAATCCATCGTAAAGAAAGTATTCAATATGGCCGTACTGGCCCGTGTCAGCATCCGATGCTTTTACCTGCAAGAGAAACCAAAAACTGAATGGCAGGATGGCCAAATGTTACTCCTTTTACTGACCGTAGATTATCTGCCTGGTTGTCAGAAACAGGGCAAACTCTAAACGCTGCTCTCAAAGAGGAAAAGTTTAGTTTCTATAACCCCTCCAAATGGCAATATTTCAATACCTTTTATTATTCTGATTTCATACAAGGCCAACAAATCATATAATAATTAAGAACTTGATGAATCTTACACGCGTTGAATTTGGCTTAAGGAAGGAATAACATACACACTCAATTGGGTATGGAAACCTATCTTACCCTACAGGAAAATAGGGAGGAAGGGGATGGGGGGGGATGATGGAGAGGAGGGCAGATTGAGGGAGAAGGTAACCAGAAGTAAACACTTCTGAGGAGGGACAGGGTCAAAAGAGAGAATAGAGTAAAGGGGGGGTGGGATAGGATGAAGAGAAATATAGTTAGTTTTGCACAACATGACTACTATGGAAGTGTTTTGCATGACTATACATCTATAACCTGTATCAAGTACCTTGCCTTCTCAATGAGAGCAGGTGGGGAGGGAGGAAGAGAATTTGGAACCCAAAGTTTTAAAAACAAATGTTAAAAATTGTTTTCACATGCAACTAGGAAATAAGATATACAGACAATGGGGTATAGAAATCTATCCTGCCCTACAGGAAAATAGAAGGGGAAAGAAATAAGAGAAGGGGGGAGATAGAAGGGAGGGCAGATTAGAGGAAGGGGTATTCAGAATGCACGCCATCTTGGGGTGGGGGAAGGGATGAGATGGGGAGAAAATTTGGAATTTAGAATCTTGTGGAAGTGAATGTTGAAAACTAAAAATAAATAAATTAATAAAATTGGAGGAACGAAAGAAAAAAAAGAACTTGACACTATCTCACAATAAACAAGAGGGTTGGAGAGAAGTCTGTCTAGGTCAGAAAGTATATATACTCCACAAATTCAAGAAACATTTATAAAGCACCTAGGTTCTGAGATAGGTATGTTGTTGTCAAGGTAGGAGTAAGTAAGACACAGACCCTCTCCATAAATCATTCATAATCCAGCTGTAGTGGTAAAGAAAGCACACAAATAAGCATGATACAAAGTAGAATGAATGAATGAAGTATTCATTAAGTGCTTAGTGTATTTTTATATCCTTGGGCTCTTAGCACAGTGCCTGGCACATAATAAGTGCTTAATAAAGGACGGTGCTGCCTGCTGGGGACAAAAAAAAATAAATAAAGCAATGATACATTCTGCCCTCAGAAGCTTCCACTGTAAAAGGGGAGAAAACACACACAAAGTAGAGATAGTTATTTAGTTTGGAAAATCACAGGGATGGTGTACACTGACAAAAGTGAAAGGATAGAATAGTTTAGAGGCAGGAAAAACTCCTTCCATCAGAAACCATAAAAGGTTTTTGTTGAATGGGTGGCATTTAAGCTGAGCCTTGAAGGATGCACAGAATATCAAAAAGCATAGGAGGGGAGGACATTCCACATTCCAGAACTAAGGGAAGGCAGGATTGATCCAGGAAAGAGGGCTGGACTATGTTTAGAGAATGGCAGATAAGTAGCCAAGTTGGGCTAGAGCCCGGGATACATAAAACGAAGCAGCGTGAGATTACTATGGAAAGGTAGTTTGGAACCAGGCTGTAGAAGGCATTAAAGGCTGGGCCAAGAAATTTGGACTTCATTCAATAATCAATGGGGAGCTATCAAAGGCTTTGAAGAGTGGAGAGAGAATAATAATGGCTTATCTCTCTATAGTGCTTTAAAGTTTCTATGATGCTTTAAGGTTTACAAAGCATTTTATAAGCATGTATACATATGAGACATATTTCATGTATACTTATAACATTTTAAGATAATAACTTCCATTTTTATAGCATTTTAAAGTTTATAAAAAACTTTATAAGTATTATTCATTTGATCCTCTCAACCACTCTAAGAGGTATGTACTATTATTATCCCCAATTTAAAGATGAAAAACTGAGATTCAGAGACCTTAGTAACTTGCCCATGGTGAGCATATGCCTGAGATAGGATGTGAATCCAGATTCACCTGGCTCCAAGGCAAGCACTCCATCTACTGCACCATACTGCCTCTTTGTATAAGATAGCTAAAGCAATTATTGTTGTTGTTATTGTTATTATTAACCCCCAATGTACAAGAAACTGATGTGCAAATGGGTTAAATGACTTTTTGTAAGATAATTATTGAGATTATTATTGCCATTATTATTATCATTATTATTACCTCCATCTATAAGAAACCGACTGTCAAACAGTGTAAGTGGTTTGCTTATGATTCTACCCCTAGTAAGGGTCAGCTGTGGGATGCAAACCCATGTCTCCTACCTGACAATTTAACCATGTGCTTCCCATTTCATACTGTGCTTGTCTCCAGCCCAATCTCCGGTCTCCTCTGGAAAGAGGAGTGGTCCCTTCCGCTAAATGATAAACATTCCCACACCTGTTCAGACTCTATACAACCTAGTGATTCTGGACCCCTGTAGTGTATCATCCAAACCCCATCTCCCACCACTCAATTCTTTATTCCCATCCTCCTTAACCTTCCCATCTGAAACACCATCCAGCCAAATTCCATCCCACCCTTTTACTGTGCCCACCGGAATTCTTATTCCATAGACAACAACTTTCCCTTCATGCTGAATCTTTTCATCTCCCACTCTTTCCATCTACTAGCTATTACTGAAACTGGCTCCCCATGTTGACACAGACTTCCTGGACACTCCTTCCAGCATTAGCTGTATTTTTATTCATTCCCCTTGGCTTGGTCAAGTAGGGAGTTAGAATGGTCCTTACTCCTTATTACTACTTCCAGGTTCTCACCCTATTTCTATCATTCAAAAACCTTTCTTCAGCACAATCCACCTCAACTACTCAATGAAAATCCTAGTAACTGTTGCCTACAGACCTTCAGGTTACTCTCCTTCCTTCATCAATGAGTTCAGTACACGGCTCACAATTTTTCTTTCCCCACCCCCAACTCCTGCCTTCATACTAGAGGACTTCAACTTATATACTGATTCTCCCTTAAACACCCTAACCATTCAGTTCCTCAACTTACTCACTTCCTATAACCTATTCATTCACCCCATTCCCAGTCACATAAAAAAGATGGCCATACCCTTAATCTTGCCATCAACCCATAAGTGTACCACCTCCATGTTCAAGAATTCTGAAATCCCCTTATCTGATCATGCTCTACTGGCTTTCCACCTCTCCCTCTGTCTTCCCTTACCAAACCCAGCTCTGGCTCCAGCCACAATTTCACCTTTCTAAGGCCCCTTCCCCTTCAGATTTGTGATCCTTTAATCTCCTTCCTCTGCCATATGGTCTTTCAGTGAAATAATGTGGTTAAAGAGGTTTGTAAGCCCATTGACCTGGTAGTGGTATGTAAGATAACATGAAAGTTACAAAGTTGAGATTTTGAATGAGGTGCATGCAATTCACTAGAATGGAAAGTATGCAAAGAAAGTGGTGTGAGCTATGGTAGGAAGGGCAGGATATAGTCAGATTCTGAAACGCCTTAAATGCCAAACTTAGGAAGATACATTTTATTTGATAAATGCAAGGATACCATTGAGGTATTTTGAACAGAAGAGTGACATATAAAGAAATCTCAACTGGCTTCGTGAAATATGAATTGGAAAGAAAAGAGATTAGAGCAGGAATACAAGGAGATTATGTCTATACTCCAGACAAGTGATGATAGATGACAGTGGCAAAAGTGGTGGTGATATGAAGGAGAAGATAGATATAGGAGAAACATGAAAAAGCTGTATTTGGCAGAATTGGGAGATGGGGGGGTGAAGGCATAGGAAAACTGAAAAGAAAAACTATTATACTATATGTCTTAAAGGGTGGTCGCAAGGAAAACATTTAGCGTACTTTAAAGTGCTTTATAATTGTGACTTATTATTTTTAAAGATACTGCAAATCTAAAAGAAAACATTCACTTCAATCCCATGGTGATGCAATCCTTTAATAGTCTTTGATGAAGAATCTTGTTAAGAGATTTTCCTAAGTGCATTACACTCTTATACCTCACAAAGAACACTAGGATATTAACATGGCATCATATTTTTTTCTTTTCTAAACTATGATGCCTTTCTTCTTCACATAAGGAACCAAGGGTCTCAGACACAAGCATAGTTAAAGACCTCTCCATTTATGACTCTATAATCCTAAATGATATTAGCTTGGACCCCTGCTACTTAACATTTTATCACTGATGTGAATAAGGGGCTAGTACACAAGAAATGAGCATGAAAACTATCCTGTTGTATCACTTCACACTTAAATTGTCAGAGACTGTAAAAGGATAGGAAAAGCCAATGTTGGAGGGCTTGTGGAAGTCCTGGCACACTGCTGAGAGAGCTGAGAATCAGTCTGATATTTCTAGAAAACAACTTGAAATTATGTGAAAGAAAGTTACTAAAAACCATTCATATACTTTGACCCAATCAATAAACCTACCACTGAGTTTACAGCAAAAGGAAATCAATGATAGAAATAAGGGTGTTACATATGACAAAATATTATAGCAAAAAACTAGAATCAAATTAAATACCCAATGATTAGAGAATGGCTGAACACATTCTGGAATATTAAATGTAATATAATATGATTGCACTCTAAAGAACAATGTTGTATGGAGAATGCAAAAACATGGAAAGATTTGTGTGAACTAATGAAGAGCAAAATAAAGTAGAAACAAAAGAAAATATACACAATAAGTAAAATAATGTAAATGAACACAATAGAAGGTAATAACATTCAAACCAAACACAATAGATGATATTTGTTTCAACTTATTAGAAACACGTATCTTTCCTGAGTGTTGACCAACAATCTTCAAAAATGGGAAGGTAAATATATCAATAGGTATAATAGACAGTTTTATTTAACTCCTTTAAAAAAAAGGAAGTTAAGATAATAATTAATGGGAAGTAAAATGTTGAGACAAA